ACGTTTTGTAATTTTATAATTTATCCATTACCCATGAGTTCTCTACAATACCTGCATCCTAGTTTTGCCTGTTACAGAATGTCTAAGATTAGGGAAGACTTATGGGGAAGGTAACTCAGCACATGCAAAGCTGGGGAAAGGTGACCAGAGAGAATGAGAGCATCCGTCTCCTGTGACTGGACAGGAGACTCAGGCCAAGCAGAACCCAACCTGAAAGACTGGCTATAAGAAGGTCACGCCGGCCAAATCATGCTCCTCCCTCCAGCATCACCTGCTTTGGGATCTGGGTTGTCAGTGGTTGGTTGCTATGGTAACAGTGATGGTGTCATTTCCAGACCACTTCCTTCACACTGTGTCAACACATGTTCAGCAATTCCAAAGAAAAGTGGTGTTTTCGTCAGTTTGTGTGTCCATTCCAGAACATGACTCTTGGGTCCCTTATGTCAAAAGCCTCCCATTAAAAGTTTAAACATTGAACAAGACTAAGAGTGGAAATTGTCTCAAAGAGTAGGCACGCTCTGGTTCCCTTCCTGTGACCCTGTAAGGCCCAGGCGACCAAGGAAGGAGACATGGTTGGCCCTGTCACATGAGTCCTCCGGGACCCTGCAGATTCTCCCCACAGCCTTCTGAGGCAGCAGGAGCCCCTCTGCACAGCTGAGGTGTCCTGGACATGCCTCCTTCCTGCCCAGGGCCCATGGCAAAGGGGACCCTGACTCAGGTCTGGTTCCAGAGGAAACCAGCACTGGAAATGCACGGAATGGGAAGACAGTGCACCACCGGAACCCAAGCGCCCCAGGGTCTGCAGGGCACAGATTTCAGAGTGAGCCCATAGTTCTCTTTAAATATAAACTGTAATTTAAGAGAGAGAGAGAGAGAGAGAGAGAGAGAGAGAGAGAGAGAGAGAGAGAGATAATGCCAAGGGAGATCCAAACGCTGCTTTGTGGCCACCTTGCTGCACTTATTAAAATGTCACATTTTTTCTTTTCTAAAATGCAATTTGCACGGAATTGCTTCTTCGATGTAGTCTTAGTAGCCCAGACGCCGCAGTGAAGGCCATAGGAAAGTGTGGATGGACACGCACTCCATGGAAACCTGGCCTTGAAACGCACCGCGCTTCTCAGGCAGCGTCCACCTCACGCTGACTTCGCGCTTCACCTTGAGGCCTGCGTCTGTTTCTGTTGTAAGGAGGCATTGCCATGGAGCCACCGTCAGGGAACGCTGAGAAGAGCCGTTCAACCGAGTCACGACGTCATTCCCGGAGCCCAGAGCCCGAGTGAGGGAAGCATGTGGAGCCAGGTCGGGTGGACGGCATTGGCCGCCAGCAGGAACCAAGCAGGGTGAGAAGCGAGGAGAGGCCAGAGTGGGCATCCTCGCGATCCCAGAAGGATTTCACCGTGGGAGGCTGGGACGACCCCAGGCAAGTCAGGGGCCGTGTTTGCGCCTCGTGCGGAGGTGCCGGAAGCTACGCCTTCTCACATGTCTCACAGAGAGCCCGGCAGCTGCGGATCGGCAGTAGTGGGAGCCGTGTCCATTGCTCTCCGACACGACACGGGCGGCAAGGAAGGAGGAGGAAGAGGGAACTCAGCGAGCGGTCTCGGGCCGGCCGAGGGCACCTGGAGCGTGGCAGGGGGAGCGGAGAGGGGCTGCGGGGCGCTCGCTCGTCTGCAGCTGGCTGGGGAAGACTGCTGATCCCGGAAGCTTGGCCCGCACCCCACCCGAAGAAAGACTGCTAGGCCGGGAGGAAGGAGGACGAGGACGGTGATGCTGCCCGGTCCTGCTCTCCCCGAGGTGGTTGGAAGGAGGGGTGAGGTAAGTGCCAGGCTCCGCCGCTCCAGTCAGGGACCTGAGACCGAGGTGTAATCCCGAGCCATGGCTGGCTTCGGAACACGGAGTGGGGACCGCAGAGCTGCTCCACAACGCCTCTGCAGCCGAGCCAGCTGTGTCCCAGAGACTCCAGCTCTGCCACGGTCCGCACGCACGCGCCTCCCCGCTCCACTGGCCAGGCAGGCAGTGCGAGTCTGCGCCTCCTCTCAGGGACGTCGCACGGCCTCTCGCCAGGGCCCAGCCCCTCCTCGGCCTTGTCGTGGACTCCCCTCCCCACCCAGGCAGCGTCCCCATCCGTCCCCGGAGCGGGCCGAGCTTGGGCCTAGACCCAGGTGTCCCTGTGGTTTTGCCAGCGGAACTCCGCGCTCGGCCTGCCTCACAGGAGGGGCACCCAAGGGCAGCGCGTGCCTGGCTCGTCCTCCGTCCTCCGTGGCAGCGCTGCTACTCGGTGTGCTTGGGCTACCACGCTGGCGGGGTTTAGAAAGCCTCTGACTGCCCTCTCCATGTTGTGCTCCCCGTGGCCCGAGCCCCGGCCACCCTCCCGACGGCCCCGCATTTCTGTAGAGAACTAAGTGATTTGAATGCTTTGGGATGGCTTCCAACAGGCCTGTTGCTTTGGTTGTGTTTTGGCCAAAGTGGACTGCTCTAATTACCCACACCATTTTGGCTGCAGCAGCTTCAATTTTTCTGTCTCCTCCTTCCTTTATTTTAATGAAATAATGAGAATACAGCAGCTGAAAAATCATGTCTCTTACCAACCCTGTCTCTCATAATTTTGTATTGTATTCCTTAATTCATCGTGTTCAATGTCTTAAAAATGTATTTCCTGGTCTCCCTTTTGCCATTATGACTTTTTCCTAGCTAGAATATAAATGTGACTATATGTATATATGTATCAAAAAATTTATAACTTTGACATCATAGAAAAAAGAAGTCAAAAATCTTCACAAAGCAGTTCAGCATCTTTGCCTTTGCAAGGGAAATACAATATTTAATGAGATATTATTGAGTTAATTCATACTCAGAATACATTTGTCTGAACTGTCCACACTTAATGGGACCAGTTTTTTCCTTATATCCACCAAATGTCATAAGGAAAACATGAGTTGGATTTCAGATGGCCTCACCAGCTCATCTTTTAGCATCATCACTGGACTGCGAATGTATATTAGTTTCTTGATCATTTTGATCTCTAGCACTGACCTTTAATCTTGACGCAGTGTCACCATGCAGTGTAGCTATTATAAGCTTTTGAATTATACATGTGACCATAGCATAGCAATTATGCATATAAAGTCTCTATCTCAAGATTGAGAGGTAGAATGTCCTTTCTCTTAAACATAACCCAAAACATTGAGGAGAAAATGTCACTGTTATTTCCTAAGCTCGACCTTCTGACCTATCTGAATTTTCAGTTCTGTAAGAGGTAAATCAACTCATCATTTCCATGTGAAGCCCACAGTTAGAAGACAAAACCTGGACAGCTCGGCCCAGTAGCAAGGTATGAGAACGCCAGGGGCATCTAACGTGGGATTTTATCCTCTCTGTCCAGGGAGATGGGGGACAGCAGGAAGAGCCCTGGGACCTGTGGGCCCAAAGGTGGCCCATTTATCACTGTGCTACCTTGTACGAACTCATCATGAAGATAAAACAAATTCACAAACACAGGTGTGAGCCACTCCGCAGCTCCCCACCTCTGATAGTCATTAGCCAGCCCTATTCTTTGGATTTTAAGTTTTACAGGTTGCCACAGAGATGACTTTGCTTGCCCAGCTGGGGTTACTGTGGATTTTCATTGCACTCTAATACAATGTACTGAGCAGAGCTGTCACAGTGCTTTCCTAGATACATTCCTCAGCTGACATTTCCATCTTCTTCCTGCTTGTGCTTCTGACACTGAGGGCAGTGTTCCCCAAACATGAAAAGAATGAACAGAGAGAGCGGAGGTTTTTAAGGTCAAATGTACTGTTAGTTAAACCTGAATTTGTTATAAGGTGTCTTTATCACTCAAAAAGAGTTAAGATCTTGAATATCAGTTCAACAACCAACACTCTATTGAGTCTTTATGAAATGCTTCTCAGACTTCAGGGCACATAAGAATCTTTTGAGAAAGGCATTTAAATGCAAATTCCTGTGCCCTGTGAATAAAATCTGATTTCATGTGTCTGGGCGGAGCTCGAGGATTCTGATTAGACCCCCACATGTCCTGCAAAGATGCTTAGTGAACTCTCGCCCTCTGCTTAGGAGTCAGCTCAGGGTTGAATCCTCGCACTCTGGCTGTCCACCGATGGTTCCCACACAGCTACAAACAGGAAGGGAGGCACAGGACGGAGAACCAGAGGGGAAGACCCTGAGCTCCACGTCATAATTAGCACACCTCAAGAACTTATTCTATGCAAATGACTTTAGATAACTTGCAACTTATTTTGCAGCTACCTCCACAAGCTCAATTCGATCTTGTTACTTTCATTTTAAAATTTTTAGGTCCACTTATGGAAAGTAAATATATACAAAGCTAGATCTATAGACATGTCGTACACCCAAGTGTTGTCAAAGGATGTCCTAACTAAAACATAAATGGCTCAATACAATTAATAACATAGGGGCCAGGGCATGCTTATTTTTCAACAGGAAAAAGATGCTGTGGCCATCATCTTAGAATATACCACCGTGGACCAAGGTGATGGATTCACTCCAAGCAGCACAATGCTACACCCCTGCTGAGAGCCATGCAAAGGCTGCATCTGGGCGATTCCCCTCACCTGCTACAGCCCTGATGCACTGCCCACTGATGAGACCTAGGAGCAAACAGCCCCAAACCAATCACAGCTCACCCTGATGCAGCTGCCATTTCCAAACAGAAGGCGGATGTAGAGGACTGTAATATTGATTATCCCCAAGGCAGGCTGTGAAGTTATCCCCACAATTGGCTTCTTTATAGAAGTGAGTCTGGCTGAAGCCTATGTGCCTAGGTCAGGGTAACTCACACCCAAATTCCATTCCCACAACTAAAACCTCCTGACTAGAAAGACAATGTTCTAATTACAACCATGTATTTTGTCTATTCTGTTCCTAATTCAAGAATGCTTTGTCTTGTCCTTTATGAGGCTTGTTTACATTAACTTCCATAGAAACTGCACGTAGCTCGCCTTTACCCCAATTGATTGCCAATAAAGTCAGCGCCTGGGACTGGCTAGGGCCTTTGTCGGCTGCACCGGCATTGGGCGTCCTGCCATCTGCTTTCTCTCTTCTGGTTCTGTCTCTTAGTGTATTTATTTCTCAGGCCTGCATCATATCCTAGCAGGAGACTGAAACTTAACTGCAAGGGTCTACAGTACCACTTCTCTCTGCAAAAACAAACACAACATAAATCCAATGAAACCTCTAGGTGCAAAAATTTTAAACCTCTGCCCCGCCCCCGCCTAACAAGTGGGAAGAGACCCAGCATTCAGAGCACAGGCCAAGTGCTGGCTGCACGGGAGTCACCTGGTCGTCGTGAAGAGGCTGAGAGTGGAGCAAGCAATCCAGAGCCCGGGGCCGCCTAGGCAGGGCGCCCGCCTCTCTCTCTGCAAACCTCAGCGGCTCAGTTATTACCCGTCCTAGCCATCCCTTCCCAGGTGCCTGGGCAGGAAGGACAGCCGCCTCCACTGCCAGCTCAGGACCAGAGCTGGATGAAAGATCCGGTTGGCCCTCAGGGTTTATCCCGGGTGCAGAAGAGCCCAGCTCCTTTGGCCCAGCATGACCCAGGTGCCAAACCACCCCTGCGGCTCCACCTCCTGCCACCTCCTGCTTTCCATGGCAGCCTCTGTTTCTCCATGTTGAGCTCCCTGTCGGCTTTGAGCCTGCTCTCTCCTTCCCCGTTCTTGGAAGCTGTTTCCTTGCCTGACAGTCCCCACATGTTCTTAGTCACATCCTCATGCCCCGCCCACGGCTTCGATGAAAATCAAAGGCCCCGGATTGGTGAGTATAATGAACTTTGGTGGTCTTCAGTACCTGACAAGGTTAGATAACTGCTTGACTTTTGTTCACAAGCTGGATGCTGGCTGTGCCTGTGGAGGTATGCACAGCACTTGACCTCTGAGGATGCAATCGCTGGGACACTCGGGAACACTGGCCTCTCTGCACACTGTTCCCCACAGTGAACGCCTAAAGGTCCTCCTGTCACCCTGACGGCCTCCCATCCTCGCCCAGCAACTCCCAGACTACAGCAAGGACCAGGACAGGCAAGCGAGGCTGCCCACTCCTGGTGTCCCTGTCAGAGTAAGTGGGGCTTGCGGGTCAGGAGACACACATGTGGCATAGGTCCCTAAGAGAGGAAAGAGGACCCCAGGCTGGAAGCCTCAGGAGAGGAGACCACAGCAGGTTGGAGAGAACTGGAAGCAAGTGCAGGGCTTTGTAGACAAATGCTGTCAACATCTTCCACGCGCTCCTCAGCGCTGGCCTTTGCGTGTGTCAGGCAGCCAGACCTGGGATTCAGAGGCCAGGGTCCTGCGCCCACTCTTCCGGGGTTGAGTCTGGAGTCCCGGAACCCACAAACCCTCGGGGGTGGGCAGGCCACAAAGGTTGCTGGCTGACTGCTCACATGGCACCACCACAGATCTGAAACCAAGCCTTAGAGCTGGAAAGGCAGGGGACAAAAGATAAAAGATTGCTTCACTTGTTGCTCAGTATCGAGGGCACACGTTAGAGTCTTCGTCACAACGTGCTGGTGGGCTCTGTGTTTCTGATTTTATAAAAAGCAAGCCAAACACATTAGGTTGTCAAATGGTAAAAATAAATAATTCTTTTTCCTTTTGAAATGTCAAGGGACAACAGGAAGACTGGAGCTATCTTGGGATGACAGATGTAAGCCATTTTATCTTAACTGTCAATCATCTGAGTAAACCAATTAAAAGATAGTGATTGAGAAAGTAGATTTTAAAATGACTCAATTATAAGCTGTCTACAAGAAAGTCACTTCAAATATAACCATCTGTGCACATTAAAAGTAAAAGGATGGGAAAAGATATATTAGGTAAACATTAGGCAAAATAAGGCAAGTTTTTTAATGGATCGAGATCCAAATGAACAAAAGAAAATAAAAGCACCATTTCTCGGCAAAAGTCTCTTTACTATCTGCCAGGTGAACGAACAGAGGGGAAAGCTCAGGACTGAGAACTGTGTTCTATCCTGCTGGCAGGTGGGGACATTCCTGGGTCAGCCACGCTGGAGTCAGAAAAAGCGGAGTGGGGCAACTGTAACCACGACACTTACAGGAGGGAGAGGAAGCTTCCGCACTGCTCTGTGGAACCTAACCTCAGTTTTGCCAGCCCCAGCCCTGGAGGTCAGGAATTTCTGTTGTTTCCAAGCCACTCGGACCCCAGTCTTCTGGACAATGCCAGGGTAGACTAAGACCTCTCCCATTTATGACAGTTTCAGGACTCGGAAATACTGTCAAAAATATTTCACAGGTCTCAAAGACGGCTGGCTGATGCCCGACCACCCTCATCTCCGGCACAGAGGACCCTGTTGACTGTCTAGCCACCAGCGTGGGGCTGCAGCCTCATTGCCCGAGTCTGGCCCAGCACCAACCCCAATCACCCCTCGTTGAGGAGAGAGGTGGCCTCAGAGGAGAGGAACGTCACTTTCGGGAACCCAGAGGTCAGCACACAGCCCCTGGACCAAGAGTTGGCCAGCCACAAGTGGGTCCTGCAGCATCGGGACCCACACACTCCCGACTGCATGGCTCGGGCGGCGTGGGGATGCACTCCCTGTCAGGCTGCAGATGGCAACGTGGGGTATGTGCCAAAGTGGCTGGTGGGGTCCCTCCCTTCCCACACAGTGTGGTCTGGTCTCCCACAGCTCCTGTGCCCAACCCCCTCATCAGGGTGGACGTGAGGTGCGGCCAGCGTCACTGCTGTGTGCACTGCCGTGTCTGCCTGAGCCAGAGGAAGGTCCCAGACATGGGGAGATGGGAGCCAGCCTATGGGCTCTCCTGACCCAGGGGTGATGAGGAGGAAAACTAGAGACGCAGGACCAGGTTGAAACCTAGGGCGTCAGGGGCTCATGTCTCCCTTCCACAGGGAGCTGAGTAGGGGGCACCTCAGCTTTATTCACTCAGACACAGCAATTAGAGTTGCGCAGCATTAGAGTCATCTGTCTGCCTCCCTCCATGGCACCTGTCCGGGAAACAGCAGGATCTCAGGTGTTCTTACTTCTCCCTGCAGCGTGTCAGCATGCTTTCATGCCCTCTCTTCTCAGGGCTCACCAAGGCGGGCATTAGGCCTCAGTCTTCCCAGCCGGTCGCCCCCAGTGGGGCCCTTCAACCTCCCACACCATGAGCTGTCCCACAGCCCACAGCCATCAGATCCCCATGCCGCAGACCCTGGCTGGAACCAGCCAGAGCCGCATCCCCCAACACACAGCCGAGTTCAGGGGAACCTGTGCTGCGGAGGCACCGTGTGAAAGCCAGAGACCCCTGGGCCACAGATGGGCAGATCCAGTGTGAGCGCACAAGCAGCAGGGCAAGTGAAGCAACACCAAGACTCCAAACGAAGGCAGTGTGTCCCTCAGTACTGGTCCCAGAGATGACAGAGAGCTCGGGGAGCGTCCCAGGGCTCTCGGAATGAGGAGCTCAGGAAGACAAATACAAAGTGCAGCTCAGACCCTCAGCAACAGACTGCAAAACCAGAGGGAAGGGTATCTGCACTTCAGTGTGAGTCTTTTGAAATATTCCGCTTGGAAGGAACGGACGGAGGGGAGAGAAAAGGAAGAAAGACAGACAAAGAGAAAGAAACAAAGATGCACAACCTTAGAGACTTTGGGGACACCATTAAATGCAAACAAGTCACATTTTTGAGTGCCTCAAAGAGAAAAAAAGGAATAGAAAAATCTATTCAGTAAGATATTTGAAAACTTCCTTTCCTGGGGGAAAAGATGGATATCCAGAGGTAGGAGGGCTCTGGGACCCAAACAGATGTGCTGGGAATGGGCCTCACCCCAACGTAAACCATCAAAACCATAAGAGAAGGAGGATCCCACAAACAAAAGGAGAAGGACACCAAGTCATACTTCAGGAAGTGCCATTAGACCAACAGCAGTTTTCTCAACAGAAACCTTATAAGCCAGGAGAGAATGGAGAGACAGATTTTAAATCCCAAAGAAAATAACAGTCAGCCAAGAGTATGTACCCATGAAGGCTCTCCTTCAGAAATGAAGCCCAAAGGAAGACTTCTCAAGCTAAGCAAGCAGAGGGAATTCCTCACAGCCAAGTCAGACTCTTGAGGGGCCCTGCACCCTGAAGCCCAAGAACAGGGACCGCCATCAGGAGAACATGCCACTAGGGGCACAGACGGGCAGCGGGAGTGAAGGGGAAGCTGCCCCATCTCAGAGAAGATGCGGAGGAAGTAAAGCTCAAACAGGAAATTGGACACAGTGATGACAGCGAGCCCTCATCTCCCCATAACACCTCAGAGGCAGGCAGACAAAGTCCATCAGCGACAGCACAGACTGGCTAAGCCCAGGCCGGCTGCCTGCCAGGGACTCGCCTCACCGTGAGGATGCCACAGACCCAAGGGAACAGATGCTGAAGGTGAGCCTTGGAAGTGGGCCCCACACAAGCAAGAGCAGCCGTTCATTCCTGCATCCAATGGAAGAAAGACAGAGGCTGCAGGGCTGGTGATGATGAAAGGGCAGCAGGGCACCCACATGCCGTGTGCACTTAAGGAGGGACAAAAGCCTACAAAGACACAAAGGAGATCATTACATAACTATCAAGGTCAATTCAACAAAATAACCATCGTAAGTGTACACGCACCCATTGCCAGAGCGCCCCATTTCATAAACCAACACTTAAATCTAAATGGGAGGCAGAACCAAAGATGCTCCCTGCACCCTCACCACCCCGCCGGTCATCTGGACAGGACACTGGCATGGGGACAGCAGATCCCGGGGAAGTGACGCTGACTGGAGACTCCCTCCCACTTCTGGAGAACTGGTGAGGCATCCTCCAGAACCTTAGCCACCAGCAAGTGTCCAGCAATAATCCTCCGCGTTAGCCACCAGCAAGTCTGAACAAACTTTTTAAGAACCCAAATCATATCGTGTATCTTCTTTTCCACAGTGAAATAAAACTAGAAGTTAACAACAACAGCCAGAGAAGAACAGAAAGGGGATGAAGAAAAGGAGTAAGATATGCTCTGTGCATGTCCCAACTCCACACAAGGAATGCAAACATTACAGACTACAAACGTGAACTAATAAAAACTAACAAAGGAAACTACAAACTCAGGAAGACTTAACATGCTACTGAATGAACAAACTGAATCATGGAACAAAAAAGTCAGTTTAAAAAAATGCATGCAACAAATGAATATATAAACAAAACATACTAAAACTTACGTGATACAGCAAAAAAAAAAAGCATCTCCCTAAGAAGGAAATTTATAACAATAAACATCTAGTGTGAAAATACAGAACAGTGCATCTCAAAGATATATAAATACCACACCCCAAATTAGATGGAAAGAAATAATAAAGATCAGAAAAGGAAAAAAATAAAATATACGGTATTTGTCATACTGTCTCTTTCTTCATCACTAATGTTATTCACTTGGGGGTCTTCTGCCTTTTTTCTTGCCTACTCTAGCTAAAGGTTTGTCAATTTAGTAATCTTTTCAAAAGAGCAATTCTTTGTTTCTTGGTCATTTGTACTGTTTCTAGCCTCTTGCGAATATCGGTCTGTAATTTTCATGTTGTGCTCATAGCTGGGTTTGGTAAAACAATAATGTGGGCCTTGAATAATGACTTTAGAAGGGTTTTGTCCCTTGCAATATTTTGGAATAATTGAGAATTCCTCTCAGTAGCTCTGATGAGTATAGATGTGGAAATTCTCAATAAAATCAAATTGAATGCAATAGCACATCAAAAAGATGATTTACCATGATCAAGTAGATTTATCCTAGGAGTACAAGGGTGATTCAAGATAGGGGAAGCAATAAATGTAATATATCACATCAACAGATTGGATGATGAAACCAAATGATCATCTCAATAGATGTGGGAAAAGTTTGTGAAAAAACTAAACCTCCCTTTGTGACAAAAATCCAGAACAAAGTAGGTTTCCAGCACACCTTGTTACTTGCTATTGTTAACTGGTTCTGGAGGTGGGTGGTGGCTAAGTTGATGAGTTGATGAATAACAGATTGTTTTGGCTGGAAAGGGCAGCCGTCTCGAGGCCCGAGACATGCATAAGTCCTCACTTGCACATCACTCCCAGTACTCCTACCTTCGTAGTTCCTGAAGCTTTACCCAGAGCACTCAGTCAAGAAAAAGAAAAAATGCATAAAAACAAGGAGAGAGGAAGCAAAGCTTCCCTGTTGGCAGATCATATGATTATGTATGAGGAAACCTAGAGACTCTATCCAAAGACTACTAAATCTGACAAATTCAGCACAGTCCCATGATATCAAATTCATATACAAAGCTAAGGAGCTATTCTTATACACTAATGTTGAATTTTCTGAGGGAGATAAAATGAAAGCAATCCCATTCACAATATTTACAAGAACAAAATACCTAGGAATGAGTTTAACCAAGGAAGTAAATGTCCCCTATAATGAAAATTAAAAAACACTAATAAAAGAGATTGAAAAAAATGAAAAAATAGAAATCCCTCCATGTTCATGGACTAGAATACTTTTTAAATGTCATTATAAAGCAATAGGCAAATTCAATCCAATCTCTATCAAAATACCAATAACATTAATCCCAGAACCAGAAAAATATAATCTTAAAAATTCACATGAATAGCTGAGTCATGAATTCATATGAATAGCATGCTACTGGCATAAAAACAGACATAGACCCAAAGAACAGAATAGACATCCCAAACATCAACCTGTGCCAAAACTATCCCCATAAGCCTATCCCAAACTGGGCCAAATATTTCTCAGCAGAAGTGCCCAGGTGTATTCTGGGAAAGCACAGTCTGTTCAATAATGGTGCCCAGGAAAGTGGGTGTCCACGACCCTTATTACCATTAGTACAAAGACCAACTGAAAACGGATCAAAGACATACATGTGAGACCTGAAACTAGGAAATGTTATAAGAAAACAGAGCACTTCAAGATATTGTTATAGGCACTGATTTTTTGGATAGAATTCCAAAAGCTTGGGAACCAAAATAAATAGATGGGACTGGAGCAAACTAAAAAGCTTCCGCATAGCAAAGGAAACAATTGACCGAGTAGAGAGACAGCCTACAGAATGGAAGAGAGTATCTGAAAACTATTTTTCTCACCAATTATAAAAATCCACTAAAATGGATTAAAGATTTAAATGTGAGAGTCAAAACTATGAAATTACTGCAAGAAAACATAGGAAAAATGCTTCAAACACTGACTGGGAAAAGATTTTTAGACAAAACTCCAGAAGTGCAGAAAAGAAAAGCAAGACAGACAAATGGGATTACATCAAACTAAAAAGCTTCTGCACAGCAAAGGAAACCATCAACAGGGTGAAGAGACAGGTCCACATCAGGAGAAAATATTTGCAAACTACATCTGATAAAAGTTTGATATCTACAAAATATCAGGAACTCTAAAAACTTAGGAGCAAACAAAAACATTTAAAAATAGGTACTAGATGTAAATAGACATTTCTAAAAAAGAGATATATAACTGGCAAATGGTCACAAAACTTGTCCAACATCACTAATCATCAGGAAAATGCAAATCAAACCACAGTGAGTTATCACCTCACCCCATAAGAATGTCTATGATTAAAAAGACTAATGATAACAAGTGCTGGCAAAGATGTGGAGAAAAGGGCTATCTCGCACAGTGTCTGTGGGAATGTAAATTAGTGTAGCCATTGTGGGAAACCATCCACATGCCTTCATTCATATGTAGACTCTGAAGAAGCTTATGGCATAGAGTTTGACACTAGAACAGAGGTCACTGGCAGTTGGGGACAGTAGAGGTGGGGAGAAGTGGGGACAGAGGCCCAGTTAGATAGGACTGCATATGTGGTGACTGCGGATAATGTAACTGTACATTTCAGAAAGCTACAAGAAAAGACTTTGAAAGTTGTCACCAAAAAGAAATAGTAAATGTTTGAGGAGATAAAAAGTTTAACTTGATTTAAATATGCAACGCATACATATTTTGAAACATAACATACTGCCCCACCAGTATGCACAATTTCAGTCTTTCATCATCATTTAAAAGCTAAAGTAACAAATGAAAGTTGACCTAGGGGACCAGGCAGGTGAGAGGAGCAGCTTGAAGCTCCGCATCCCGGGCCTCGCCCACACCACGGTGAGGTCAGCTTAGCCGCTCTGACGCCTCCAAGGCCCAGTCCTCCCCCACCCCGCCCCACGCCGCATGCCTCTGGCCTTTTCTGCTACCTGGTCCCACACTACAGAGGCACAGGGGAGTATAAAGACCCTTGTCCTGAGCGCCACAAGATAGGGCAGAAGACAGTAACAGAAAGAGGGCTCCTCAGGCTCCTCAATGAAAACTGAAGCTCAGCGGAAAAGCAAAGAGCATCTCTACAATAAAGGCACATCGGACCACTATACTTGATCTGCTGCTTGCTTGCTGAGACTCATTGACTCGTATATGCACACGGATTCCTACATTGCCTACTGTGACAGCAGAGAAATACCCTGAAGGAGGCGCATAATTTTTATTGCTATTTGCAAAAAATAAAAAAGGTTTTTTTCTCTTATTTTTAATTCTTAATTTTTACTCTTTTTACTCTTCAAATTTTTACTTTTCTTTCTTTTCTTTCTTCAATATTTTCTTTTTCTTGCTCTCTCACTCATTCTCTCACTGTCCCACATTGCTCCTCATCTCCCCATTTGTTCCTTTCTGCACTGCGGATTTCTCCCTTATTGTTCTTTTCTTCTCTTTTTCCTTCTCTTATCATTAGGTTTAAAGGAAAGTAAATTTGGCATCTAGCCTCCCTGTTGCTGTTAGGTGATTCTATTCACATCTTTGTTCTTTCATTCTGCCTTTTTCTCTTGCCTTTAATAACTTCTTAGAGTTTGTGTGATCTTTCTGTGTCTTCTGGCCTCACTGCTAAACTTACCTGTTCTTTCTACCTGTCCCTCCCTCCCCAACTCCTTTTAACTCCCCACCCTAAAGGGGAAAGATGCTATACTGAAGAGTTTCTTCATTATAAACTTATGTTGGGTTGGTCCTCGGTTTTAATTTAACTCACATAGTTAAATGTGATAGATTAATAACTACCACAAATTAGCATTTTCTAAGCTGTGCTTGATGCTATGGTATTGCTGACTATGTCATTTGGGCTAACATGTTGTGATTGATCTAATTAGTTTTCCTTCCTGGTATAAGGAAAATAAAATAGCCTCAAAGTCATTAGAGTCTCAAAACCCAAACACAAGCTATATCTGGAAGACATCTCTGAAAAGCAATCATTCCACAAAGGTTTTAAATACAAGCAACAAAGATACCTACACATTAAGCAATTTTGAAACATCAACCCAGGAATTAAAACCAAGGACAGTACCAAAAACAAAAATGAGAAGACACTTAAGCAAGGCACAAAAGCAGGCTTCCACACCACAAAAAGGAAATTCTGGGGCAAATGAGGTGGAAAAGTCTGATAAGCAACCACTTGGATACCCTGAACTGATAGCACAGGAAGTAATAAAGCAGATGCATGAGGCTCTAGAAAAATTCAAAACAGAAATAATCTCCCAGATAAATACAGACATGGTGAGCAGAGTGAAAGACATGATTAGAAGCTCTAGAGCAGAAACAGATAAGAAAATAGATGAGA